TAAAATATTATATAATAAAGTGAAAAATAGTTTCAGAAGTTCAACAAGTTCAAATTCGCTTTAATATTACGATCAATTCCTTGATTGTCAGGCATTATCAGAGTAAATATATTAATAGCGGACATAATACACATAAAATTAAACGAGGTACTTTCTAGCGGAGAGAATGAAACACTTTTCAGTCGTTGTAATTTTCGTCACTTGAGTAGAAATAAGCAAAATGTAGTCCCCGTTGGCAAGCCTTAGCTACGTAAAAATAAGTAGTAAGCGCCAGACACAGACACCAAAGCTATACATACATTAATAAAATATCGGGCGTGAAATTCACAAGAAAACATCGAAAAAATAAAGAGGCGCAAACATAGAGATAAAAAATACAATCTTGAAACCTCGCCAGCAGCACAAGGGCGTCTGCTCTGAACGTCCTTCAGTACAAATATTTTCTGTGAAGGAGAGAGCTGATAAAGGGACGGTCAGGACAGGATATTAACATCGCAAACAATCAATAAAAATTAAATGTTAAAACGATAAGAAGATTTAAAGGAAAGTTCCCGATTAAATAGAAACTGATCAAAACGCTGGTTAAAATTTGCCTTCATCATTGATGTGGCTGTAGTAATGCAGAACACAGCTGTGTGGCGTTTACAGTACTGTGGCTGTAGTACTGCAGAACACAGCTGTGTGGCGTTTACAGTACTGTGGCTGTAGTACTGCAGAACACAGCTGTGTGGCGTTTACAGTACTGTGGCTGTAGTAATGCAGAGCACAGCTGTGTGGCGTTTACAGTACTATGTACTCAGTACTGCAGAGCACAGCTGTGTGGCGTTTACCAGTACTGTGGCTGTACTCAGTAATGCAGAACACAGCACAAATTGTGTCGCCGGCCACCAAGTATTTTTGGTCCACCGGTTGGAGTCTTGCCACAGCAGCTGTAGACTGCAGATCTACGGAGTGCTGTAGCTATAACCTCATCCCGTGTAGCAGTTGTAGGTGAGCCGACACTGTAACCTACACCACAACCGTCCTCCAACCGTTGTTCGGGAGGAAATATGATGCAACTTCGAATATGATCGTGACAATCGGTAATGATCGTAAGGTTATCAAGAGATGCCTCACAGAATTCTTATAAATACGATTATTCAGGTGTTTCCGCGGAAATTAATACTGGGAAAAATGCATAGGTAATGTATTCCCTTTGATTAATTAAAGTAGCAGGTCACTTTCCAGTCCTTCAGGTCCTTCAAATAGCAGAGATTTATGCGGACATCAGATATTACTGTGAGGTCACAAAGCTACAATGGACTCATAGAATAAACATTCTCATTCAACTTGCTATTCTTTGCAAGAATCCCGAAGCGACCTTCATGCCCAGCAGATCTGTTGAGTTCCATGCAAATCCAAACAATGTACACGTAGTTGTATAAACGAGTCACGCAACGCTTAGTCCTTCATGGCTTCAGAACTATCACCGCGACACATCAAGCTTCCTTGATGTCGGGCATGAACGACACCTGGTGAAATGTCAGCGATTACCCCCATGATAACGTCAGAGGAACTTCGTCAAGTGAGAGGAGTGCCATAGCAGGACTGTACCGTCAATGACACATAAGTCGCCACGCAGTAGCAACTGCACTGAACTCGCCAATAAAAACTGTATAATACTGGTCAGCATTACTATTTGTAGGTTTCGATCGCCTCGTAATACCTAAACAGCGTTTTCAATCGTGCTAGCAAGTTGTAGATAAGTTTTTTTTAATAAAATGGACTTTCTTTTGGAGGCCGGCGACATAAGTGTTGTGGCAAAGTTAGTGGCCTAGACGGTAGATGCTCCGAAGTATTCACGTCTACAAAAAACACATGGAAAATCAACAATTTCTTTAATGAGCAACGCATCGCGCGCATGCAAAATAATTATCATTTTAGATCCATCACTAACGTGTGAAGATATTGACGTTAAAACATAACTGAAGGAAAAACCAGGAAGACCTAAAATGAGATTGTGCTAACATCAGCATTGTTCACCGCAACTGATGTAAGCGTCCACCGTTCACCTTGGGATGAAAAACTCACTCAGTACGCGTGTACGAAATATGATCGAATCCAGTGCACCAATGCACGCAGTTGTTGGTATTGGTCGGTTGCGAGTAATAATAACTTATACCCAGCCTCAGCGACATTCCGCAACTATTTATTACACGAGATATTCGTACCAAATCAAAACACGCTGACACCTGCGAATTTATTATCATATTCTTCTTTATAACTATGGCGGGTCATTGAAACCAATGTTCATAAATCATAAATCAAAGACTGATAACTTCAGCAACAAAACTGTGAAAACCTTTGCGCAGTAAAGAAAGCCTGCACTGTCACCTTGAGATCGCAACATTTCTATAAATTGCGTTTGTCGGTCTGCAATAAAAGGACAAAACCACTGCAGGTCCCAAGCATGTGCGCACAGGGACTGGGCATAGCAGCACCGAGCTCTCGAGCTAACATATAGAAGATGATTGGATAAAGGAGTGGTGATACAGGCGCTCATATGAGTGATGTAGACACACATTCTTTCCTTCAACAAGAGGTGAATAGATAAATATCTGACGCCTGCTCGAGTGTTTAGCTCCGTAAGATCATGCCAAGGGAGTGCTGCAGCTGCTTGCTACGAGCACTGAGAAGATATAGTGCTTTCATGCAATGTACAAGCAGGAATAGGAACATCGGATTGTTGTTTGACCTATTAGTTAGTGTTGAAATATTATAATAAAAAATATTTTCTGTTCATTCTACAGATAACATTTATAAATCAAAGAAAGTGACACATTTCATAAGCCTATATTTACGATCTTTTGAACAGTGATTAGTAGTTGGAGTTATTTATTCCGAAGCGTGTTTCATGACTGTTTTCCATAAATGACCCGCCACTTGAACAGAAATTCAAACATCTTTTCCGTCTAAAATTCGTCAGTTTAGCTGCAGTTTATACCGCGAACACAAGAAAGTCTTGACGGACACATCCGCCGCTCGTCAAAACTATAGTCAATCTTCGCATTCAAGACGCGGGCAGAGAACAACCGTTAAAATCCGGCCGCGGTGCGCGCTGCCGCCTATGAAATCTGGACTACCGGCCGACCGGCCTACGTGAGGCCGGAGGAGAGTCCAAAACAGACGCGATGAAACCGTTATAGGAATATAGCCGTCGGCAGGGACCGTTTTGGTGATATAGCGACCGTTATAGGAATATAAGCACCGGCAGTGTGATATAGGGACTGTTTTGGTGAAATGGCGACAGTTATGGTGATATAGCGACTGTTATAGGAATATACACCGGCAGTGTGATATAGGGACTGTTTTGGTGAAATGGCGACAGTTATGGTGATATAGCGACTGTAATAGGAATATACACCGGCAGTGTGATATAGGGACCGTTTTGGTGAAATGGCGACAGTTATGGTGATATAGCTACTGTAATAGGAATATACACCGGCAGTGTGATATAGGGACCGTTTTGGTGATATAGCGACCGTTACAGAAATATTGCCCCCGGCATTGTGACGGAGCAACCGTTTTGGTGATATAGCGACCGTTTTGGTGATATACCGGTAGCGACCTTTATAGGAATATAGCCATCGACATTGTGAATTTGTGATTAGTAATAAAGCGACCGTTATAGAGACACAGCCACCGTTCTGGTACAGGGTGACACAAAAAAAAACAGAGCTCATAAAAAGTTGAATAATTTCCACAATACTCAAGTAATCCTGTTATTTGTTTCAGATTCATTAAGATATGAGCACAACCCCCAGACCATCCCTGACCTCAAAGCAGCCATCACAGCAGCCATCAGAGCCATCCCGAGAGAGGAGTGCAGGAGGGTCATTGAGAACTTTGCCAGGCGAATGCAAGTCTGCCTGCAGCGCCGGGGCGCGCATCTGGAACATATCTTTGAGCGGCTGTAGAACAAAGAGTTTTTGTGGTATAGAATTGAGATTTTGCAGATGTTGGCTACATAGGTTGTACATAATTCCATAGAATTTTTGTTTCAAACTGAATAAAATTTCAGGAGTTATAAGACTTTTAGTGAGCTCTGTTTTTTTTGTGTCACCCTGTAATATAGCGAGTGTTGTGATGCTATAGCAGCTTCCTTAAATACGGTTCGATGGGGGCTACTTCATTTCCACGTGTGATAAAACACACATCAATTTCAAGTGCTGAAACAATTATTGAACTTAATTATTGCCGATACGTTATCATAATTATTGTCTATGGAAATTAAACTGTAGCAACGTGAACACAGCTAATGAGATTTCAACATTATGGTCCTATCTCCTTCTTATCTTTTCTCTTTCACCTCACCACAAAGAAAAAGGTTGATTTAAACAATTGCATGAAGAACCTTACATTACAGTGCGTTTAATCTTTTATAATCTACTCTTCAAATAAGTTTGCCAGCATCAACAGTACAACGTTAATACTGATACTTCTAATGGGCTACAGACATCTGCAATAATATTGTCGATCACAGGATAACTTCTTAACCGCTGCAAAAGCATATTCAGTCACAGGATTACGACTTGCCAGCCACATAAGCATGTTCAGTCACAAGATTACGACTTGCCAGCCACACAAGCATATTCAGTCACAAGATTACGACTTGCCAGCCACATAAGCATATTCAGTCACAGGATTACGACTTGCCAGCCACATAAGCATATTCCTGTCTCTTATACACATCTAGATGTGTATAAGAGACAGNTAAGCATGGTTCAGTCACAAGATAGGTACCGACTTACCAGCCACATAAACATGTTCAGCCACAAGATACCGACTTACCAGCCACATAATCACGTTCAGTCACACGATAACGACTTACCAGCCACATAAGCATGTTCAGTCGCTCGATACCGACTTACCAGCCACATAAGCATGTTCAGTCACAAGATAGCGACTTACCAGCCACACAATCATGTTCACTTTTGTTCTGTCAAGAGCGTACTACTCACCAGCTGCACAAGCTTGACAATGCCAGGTCCTGTGCGGAAGTACCCCATGTTTAGCGAGATTCCCACTCCGCTTTTGGGTGCGGTGTTGTAGGACGGAGCTGTGGTCACGGAAATCGTGCTGGGTTCGGCTTTGCTCTCCGCCATCATTTTTTATTTCGGGTCAATTATACAACTAATATGCCTTTTTTATTTGTATTAAATTGTATATATATTCTAAGCAACAACGAAGCTAACAGCACAGCAAGGGATGCAAGCAGAAAAACTAGGCCTGCCCAAAGTCAACCATGGATAAGTCGGCATGTGCAAGGTCACAATGATGATTTATTTCAATTATTGCGTATTTCCACAAAAACAAGTTAAGATTTTTTCAGCGCGTATGGAAAATTATAGATACGTTTGATCATGATTTAGTTTAATTTTTATTAAAAAAACATTAAGGCGAACTCCGAAGTATTGTGATGGATAGAAGGAATTAGATTTGTAAGTAATAATTATACAGACGATAATATTGAATGAATGAGCTCGACTTGTGAATTCATAAGACGAAATATATTTTAAAAATGAAAAATATGACCATAAATGATAAAATACAGCAAGGCTGTAGATTGTAATCGCAACGACCAAAAATATGTTGTACGGTACTCCACCATGAAGTGAACTTTACTCAGTAACAATTCTTCTTAGACACGTCGTAAGGAATTTGTGCTAGGTAGAGATATGCCCATTGATTGAAACGTATTTGAATAAATTATACATACTTACACGAAATTAATTGGAAATTATTATTATTATTATTATTATTATTAAATTATTAACTGTAAGCACGGAATAAAGTGAGCCAATAGCAGCGCAAGTTAGGGTCAAGTGCCGATACCAGATTAATATTGATTTTTAATTAGATTTATACTCAGACCAGAATGCTATTTATAACGGTGACGGGAATGGATCACTGACTACGGTATATAATCAATGCTTTCGAACCCTCAACAATTACAAATCTGCAACCACACAATCATCTTTCACAATCAAATATTTCGTATCAATTCAAATTATGCTATAACTTGTGGTTGCTGAACTTTAATAAATATATCTTTCTGATGCGAGAGTCTATCTGACGACCCCTACAGCCACAGGTTGGACACCAGCGCTCCATGTAAGGTTCCTTTACAGTCCACACACGCCTCTCTGCTTCACTTGAATTTCATAAACATTCTTTTCGCACTAACGTGCTTAAATAACAAACCTGTGAGAAAATCCTTTTCAAACCATATTTATCACTTGATAGAGATGAGTTTTTCATAAGAATAAATCGCTATTAGCACACTGAGAGAATATACTGGACGTGTTCCTTCTAAATCATTTGACACAAATTTTCTAGCGCACCAAACTCTCACAACCAAGTTGTGTTTTCTACTGAGCTTCTGAGTTCAGACTTCAGACCAGTCTCTAGGTAGCCTACAGGTCTGAGTCATGCACTGCTATCACTCACCCAACGAACGAAACTGAACGAAAGAAAAAGAACTATTCTTCAAAGCGCACTCTAGAGGGCGCTTCAAACGTTTCAAATTGACGATTCTTCTATCTTCTCGCACACTTTTAGAAAATTACTACTATACACATATAAAAAAAGTTTAAATTAAAATTTATCCTTCTTGTTTTGCCTTCACATCCAAATAGAATGTTTGGTGCGCAACTCGGAAAAACGATACGGCTTACAAGGGGAAGTTGAATTGACAAAATACAGCAATTCTTCGGCCGCTCCCACGCACCTGCGTACGCACTACCTCCTTCGTCGTCATCACCCACGCATTACTCCAGGTAGCTCATTCAGGTCCATTCAAAACCCGCGGTTTCAACCGTCTCAGCTTGACTACTTTCCTCGCCACAACGGGCGTGGGGCGAATGTTAAAACGCCGAGCACGTGAAGATTTAGCTCGAAGTTTATTATTCACTCTACACCAGGGGTCGGCAAACTTTTTACCCGTCGACCCCTTCAAGAATGTTCTTTGCACGTTTTCCACGCACGAGTTTTTCAGATCGAAGCTGATCGTGAACTAATTAAAAAGCTATTTATTCGCAATCCGATCGTGCGAGCGTAGTCATATTTTTGCCCTTATAGTTTTTAATTAGCACATTTTAACGCTAAATTTGAGCACGTTTACTAGGGATAAGTTTTGAAATAGATATCGATCTTAACCCAATTAAAAACGAAGCCATTTATTCACTCTATACTCCTGCTAGCGTTGAAGTTTCTTTCCACTTCGTTTTCAGGCAGTGTACTGAACGAGAAGTTTTAGCCTCCTTTGCACGCCTAACTAATGACAGATAGGTTGATTGGCACAGCCACAGCAAGTAACTTGGGTTGATCGGTACAGCCAAAAGCATGCGAGATTGATTGGCTCCGCTTAAGGCTCAAAGGTGGAAACGCAATCAAAGGAAACTGCTCACACAACTTCTATTGAATATCATACATAGCCTTACATAAATAAATAGCAAGGGCATAAATAACAATGATAACAGCAACACCTAAATGTCATAATAATAATAATAATAATAGCGGTTTCAGCGTTATTAGGCCGTAGGCCTGTCGCCGATTCTTAACATCGCAGAACATTCACAGCATTTTGCGGTCTCGAACTCGCAACTCACTGCAACAATTCTGCTATGCTTAACCGCCCGGCCTCCTTGCCGATTCTGACCAGAAACTGGCGCACAGAGCTGGGATCGAACCCTCGCCTCTCTGCGCCAATCTTGGTACTCTGAACTTTAACCACTGGGCCACCCTGCCCAGTAAATAAAATAAGATATCATCAATAAATAAGACAAGGACATTCTAATCAGAGACTATTCTACATGGAAAAAACATACAACGCTCTATCTGGGATGAAAACATGATGCTGTATTTGGGGAAAGTTTACCTAAATTATCGCTCTCACTAGAATATCGTTACAACGGAAGACATAACGTGAGTCTATCATTGACTGGGCGAGTAACTGGTCATAAATGGTCACAAGGTTATTATAACAACGGAAGACATTAGACGAGCTTATCATTGACTTCATTGGCTGAGAACTGTTTAGGCAGGGGCACTAGAACGTCGTGGCCTGAGAAGATCTCACACGAGTTTATCATAGACCGAGTAACTGGTCATGTAGAGGCCTTTAGCAGAGTTGCAATTGCAGCAGTCCCTGTTATTGTTGAGCGCGTTATAGAGGATGGTGTGGAGGTTGTGCAGAAGGTCTTTGCCATGCACGGAGTGAGCTATGCTGTGCAGCCACTGAGCACGACGCCACGACCGCACGTTGGTGCACGTCACGACACGTAACAGAACGCTCTTTACGACCTCTTCGTCTATCCTGCCCACGTCACGACTGAACACCGACACGACGTCGTTACCGGACCTGCAGACCTGCACGATCCTGTGAGCAGCGTAGTTTTGTAGGCGCGTCAAGCCGTACATGTGGCAGGCGTGTAGGAGTTCAACGTACGAGCTCAGGGATATACAAGACAGGGCAGAGCAAGTACAGCCATACAGGTGGTGCACGATGGCCTTCAGGCTCTCAGGACCGACCGAACCAACCCTCACGACCCCGTCAGTGGACTCTTTCCATCCTTGGTCACCCAACATGGCCGCCCAAGCCTCACTGGCCTCCCGCAGGACAGACCGGTGGGCGCGAATGCCTCTCGCGTTTCCAGAGGTCTGTGAATTATCTTCAACAACTTCGTTACCTGCTATAGAAACTTTCGGTTTTTGCGTGGAACTTTGGTCGGCATCGAGGGTAACAATGGATTTGGGTTCTTTACCAGTGTTTACTTGTACAGAATCACCACACTTTAGTATGTTAGAAGCACCGCAAGGCATCGCCTCATCGCGATCATGGCAGTCCATGTCACTGAGTTCCTCTTCGCTGTACTCGTCCTGGAGGAAGTTTTCAGGACCTGAATCATCTTCCATTTCTATCTCATTGCTGTCAATGCTTTCGAGAACTACATCGTGATCGCTAAGTTCAGACCACAAGCAACGGCCGTGATTGAATTTAGTGTGTGATGAATTTACATTGGGAGAATTTATACTCGGTGTTTTGTGGTTGGCTTTCGGGGCAGTTTTCAAAAATGAAATTTCTGGATGAGACTTTTCCTCTCCACATTCGCTGTCCGATGCTGAGATCAAGCACATGGTGCAGGTTGTACCGCGAGTTGCAGTTAAGGAAAGCTGCACAGAAAAACACAACAGATATCTTTAAATAACCCCATACCCCTTTGCGTGTAGTGGTCCTTAAAATTGCATAATTTAAATGTCAACATTTTACAACACAGTTAATTTCGGACAATTATAGCGTCTGTGTGAAAGATTACATTTTTTCATAAAAATTGAATAGGCTCCGGCTATATCCGGAGCTAATTAGTTAGGCTTTCTGTTCCACAAGTTGTATATATCCAAGCGCGCTTCCCAAGTCTGCCGAAGACTTGCACTTTCCTCAAGAAGTTGCCAGCAGTTTGCTCAAGGGCTTAAATTTCAGTCTAAGTTAAATTGCTCAAAACACGAGTGAAATTTCTCCTCGCTGATAATCTCAAATATATGAATTTGTGAAAGTTTATGTTTGTTCACGTGTTGTTCATGGCGCTGTAATCATATAGGGGCTGTTAGTGCGCGTATCGCTGATACCTATCACGTCGGGGTGTTTCCAGGGAATAATTTTTCTTTTAGTGCAGTCATCATGAGATATAGAAATAGAGGGGTTGAATTAGATTAAACATTTAAAATTTCATTTAACACGTTGACTAAGATTGCTTCATCTTGTACTATTATTTCACTTTTTGTACTTTTTTTAAGCAGGGTTGCCAGACGGTCATTTTTTCCGGACAAATTCCGTGATTTAGTTTTTCTCAATTGCGTTGGCCGGCTAAAATTTATGATAGGGGTACTTCCTAATTAAATTTTAAATACTGCAAAAAGAAAATAAATGGAATTTTTATGGCGGAACCTACAAATAAACTAGTATACATTGAATTAGCGGCCTTTTTTGGCCTTTTTTGTTCTCGGATTTGGCCGATTTTAGGCAACCTGAATTATGTACCACTACCTCCTGGAGAAATACATTTCGTGGTACACATATGTACCAATACGTAGTCAACGTGTTAAACTTGTTGAGTGGTATTTTTTCAGAAGAAAATGAAAAAATTGTAAATATTTATACCATATCAAGATTTATAAAGTTTCTCACGTCGAGGGTTTTGGCGAGGGCGTGTAGAGCAGCGGCCGCGTAGATGTAGCGCACTGATGAAGGCGACTCGTTCTCGGAGAGAACGTTGAAGATATCCTGCAGACCTCCTAACTGTATCAACAGCTTCTGCAGCAACAGCGGACATCTGTAGCAACAGTTAGTGTACCAGTGAAATTAATACTTATGCCTTACCACACACTTGGTATTTGGTAAGATAGTGATCGACAAGATTGTTGTACGATAAATTTGTCATGTTTCGATGTTGAACCACAACACGATTTTCAACAGCATAATTAACATTTTAATTCCATGCAATATTAGATAAATTGCTGGAAAAACACAAGAAATGGTGGCCTGACATTTTTTTGAGAAAAATAACGTCCAATCTCACCTCGCAACGTGAGGTATATTAAGAGAACAAGTTTCTCTAACATAGGCAGGGGCATTTGGACTCAGCCTGTTGCGGGCTTCTTGGCTGCCGTACTGATGCACGTGGCCGAAAAAATTTAGCACGTTGCTAAGAAACGCCTCACCGCCAGCCACGAGTAGCAGGCACTGGCTGCACCTCTTCGCAATTCCCGCACATTTTACGCTGCGTCCATCTGAAGCCTTGGGTTCTGATTGAGAAGTAGTGACTTTTCTTTTTGTATCACAGGCACAACTTTCATCACAAGCAGAACTTGTATCACAGGCTGTACAATCGGAAGCCATGCTGGTAGTCGAGTTGTGCTTTTTCTCAGAGGAGTTTGAAGTGAGGCGATTTTCGTTAAAAGAGACTTTGCACAAGTCTCTTCCACTGACACAGCAAGGGCAGATGCATTTCATAAGCTCGCTGTTGGCGACTATGTTACTCTCGCACAATTGCACACCCACGTACGCGGGGAAATAAGTGTCAAGGAGTCCCTGGATGCTGCATGGCGTCCTGAGGTACGAATAGGCGGTCAACCAAACATTCATCATTATCATTATAACAGTAATACAAATATTGACAAGGAGGACAAATAGGGAAAATTTATGCTGTGCAACACATTTCTTCAATATGGCAAATCTATACTGAACCACATTAATTTTAGCAATAGATAAAATACCTCTACATAAAACGTTAGGGAGAGTTACTTGGTGATGGTGGAGAGGAGTCGCGTGGCGGCGGGGTGCACGCGATGGCAGTGCCGCAGATAAAGCATTACTCGGGGCAGGAACTCCTGACACACGCTCCCCAGCGCCTCCTGAATCTCACACACCTGCGCCATACAAACAATAAATTTCTATTGAAGTTCTGCTGCTAGACGTGATCAAGGAGAATTCGAGGATTATTTCAATAGTACTATATTAAGGTAACAGTAACAAATACAACATAAATTCTCTCAATGTTACAGACTGCCATGGACATGGCGGAAAGTCATACATGAATAATATACCTGAGAAATATTTCGGACAATAACTTCAAGATGACGTAAGCAAGACTCCAAATCTTCCTGGGGACGGTCGGCTTCATCGTTTTCTGCTTCAAGTGGCTTTTTCTCTGGAATTTTAGTCGTGGTCGTATCGCTACCTCCTAATTTGCCTTTTAAAGCTCCTTTAGAAAGCAAACTTCCCCCCGAACCAGAAGGTCTCTGAAGTGGTAAAATGTTATCGAGCACACCACTTTGGATAATGAAAGGGTCTAACTGCTGTAAACGTGATTGTAATTGTTTAGGATAGAATAATTTAAACTGGATCCTTCAATTTGTCATTAAATACTCAAGTTTTTAAAATTACACAGTAATTGGTACCTTAGGAAATTACCGATATTTATGATTTAAGCAAATCACACAACCATACTCACGGAAATGTTCTTAGACGTGGCCAGAGCTGATGGTCGCGCATTTGATGCATTGCCCAAGCTGTCTTTATTAACAGTAATATGACCAGTTTCATTGCCTTGATCACTTGTTCCAGAGATGGATGAGATTGATTCATTGGCTTTAGCTCTCTTACCGACCCGAAATTTGATATGATTGAACTCGCGTACAAGAACACTCTTAAGTTGCTGCTTAGTCTTGAATTCGTCTTCAATAGTCGGTTTTGAACTGGATGCATCTTCTAGGTTATCTTTCTGGATCCTAGTTTTATCAGAATTACATAATGATGGTGCATTGTTCACATCACTTCTACTAATAGAATTCAAAAAGCCAAGGGAAGACTCGTCCTTGCCTGAATCACTAACGTCCCCGGGAGACAACTCGGCGGGGTCATCAAAGATGCTCGGAATTGCAGCGACTTTCGAGTCAGGTTCCGAGGAGCGACGTTCACGGGTTTGCTTACTCCTTTGAAACTTGACGCGATTCATGGCCTGAGTGTCGACAACTGTTTCTGTGTTCGTCATCTGAGATAATGATGTTTTTGAAATTACAGGATCCTCAAACATTGGGCTATCAATATCAAAATCCTGTTGAAGCGGCTTCACTGCAGTGCACTGCACTTCTACTTGAGCATACTTTTGATGACGGTTGCAATAGTTACTGACTTTGGTTTTGGACGATGAATTCGGTGAATCGATTAAAGATGATTCTCCAGAACCCATTTGCACGTTATTAATAGATTGGTCTGTCAACAAGTCTGACTCCAGTAACTTTTTTGTAACTTCTTCTGCAAGGTGCGATGTTTCATCAGTTTCACTCTCTCTCACGCTGCGATGTCCACTTTTAATTTGAGGTCTATCCTCATTTATGCTACTGTCAAATTCACTATCTGCCAGTTTCTCAGTAGATTTTAGAGGAATCAACAAAGAACTAGAAGCTGCTCCCAAGTCTTTGAATTTTTTCAGGCTGCTTCTTGTTGGATTGTCAGACCCACTCCTGCCTCTCTTTAAGTTGACAGACAAGGAACAATTCAAAGTAGTTTGAGGTACAGACTCAGCCTTTCTTTCGACTGCAACAGAAGCACTAGTCAGATCTCCTGGCAGATATGGCTCGGGGCGACACACAGAAGAACAGGAGGAAGACTTTACAGTTTTAGGGGAGACACTTGATGAGCAAGATGCTTGAAAGGGTGCAGAAGATGATGAACCTGAAGATAAGTTTGACGGAGAACAAGCAGGCGAATATGAGGAAGAATAAGCCGGCGAGATTGATGAAGAATGAGCAGGCGAATAAGATGAAGAATGAGCAGCTGAATATGATGGCGAATGAGTAGGTGAATATGAAGATGAATGAGACGGTGAGCTCCAGCCACCAAAAGGTGATGAACCGCCAGGTTTGATGGGTGAGTATGCAGTCAAGTGCGGTGGAGAAGATGACGGAGAGGTGATGGGCTGGAAAAAAGGCGACGGGATGGGTGAAATTGAAGTTGATCGTTCCTTGTGTCTTCTTCTTGATGGAGGAGAGTATGGAGTGTAGACAAACAGAGGTCTGTCATAGGGACTGGAGGGAGGAGATACGGGAGCGAGGGGATGAACTAGAGGAGGGGATAGAGAGCGTGAATTTCGTCCATTTCTTTGATTTTCTGGGACACAAGATCCATCAACAATGAGTTTCAAATTTGCTGAACGACTGACTCGACTAGAATTATGAGACACTGTGCCGCTATTGCTGTTATTACAGCTTGAGGCAGCTCTGCCGCTGTCGCCTCCTTGCTTCCCATTAAGTAACTTGACTTGATGCGCACAGCACGACGCTTCAACATAAGGAAGTCTGCTATTCTGGTACCGTGCAAAAGCCGCGTCAAAATGCAAGCACAACGCAGTTAGAATTTTTGCAGCAAGGCAGTGCTTGAAGACCTGAAAAATTATAAAATTGTACATTGCACTGAGGAGGATTCAAAACATTTTACAATTCATTTCTAAAATCCGTTGGTGGTCCTTCGTGCATCCAACAGTATAGACCTATTAAGTAGTCACACATGAACATAAAAGGAAATATACTCCTACACTAACCTATAGTGAGGATATTTTCTCCTCGTATGCCTGTGAATGAACGATGAAAACCGACCAACTCCAATAGACCACTTCCTCACCATCTCCTGAATTCCATTATTGCACTCGAGTGCAAGAAGAGAACTTAATATTTTTTTCTGCATCCTTGCGACGCCGGCGTCTTCCTCGTCATCGTACGTTTGGCTGCCGTCGTCAGGAGATTGAGGGTCGCCTTTGAGCAGCACGCCGACGAGCGGCTTGATGCCACCAGCATCAACCACCTGCAGCCACACCAGGGCCACGTTCGAGCGACTCAATGGGTCACCAGGCTCCAGTGAACCGTCACACAGGGTGCATAGGCCCGATACAACCTTCTCTGGCAACATGCCTACAAATGACAATCAAATAATATTGGATATATATATATGAGCAACTATGGAGGAAATGTGAAATATAGTATTGACACTGGATCAGAGTAGTTTCTTTCTTTATAAGTAACAGTACCGTATTTAGTTAAATATCGCACGAAAATTCATTAGGATAAAGCAAATGTATTTTCAAGAATCTTGGATTTCTAAGAAAATTTGGAAATATTTTTTCTAATTTATCCGACTAGGAAATACATGAAATTCTTATTATGAATTGCAAGCTACTTGGTGAGCTCCTAACATATTAGGAGCAACTAGGCACTAAAATTTTTGCTTAAACTGCAGAAGTCTGGGCCTCGCCCTACCTTCAAAACTAATTATTTCAGCAACGAGAGCAGTGGCTGCCTTGCTCCCAAATAAAGCCTTGAGAAGTCGGACTCTCAATGCAGGAAGATTAGCGCTAGCACGCACACTGGCGTCGTTTTTGTCGCTGGCTCTACTGGATGCGACCCACGTATGACGCGCGCTGCCCATTTTCTGCTGCGTGGCCAGGGTCGCCAGCTTTACCAGGTTCAGCACCACGCGCACCGTGTTGCTATGGACGACTGCGCATGCGCGGTTGTCTTGCCACACACGCAATAGCAGATTCAACTCCTTCGTTCCATCCAGCAGCTTATTAGTATATAAATAGACATGAACATTAGTATGAACATGTAAATCCAGTCATATAACAGGTCTTCAATAAGAATGCTGTACTGAAACAAGCTCCTGTGCCTCCCTTGATATGTATAGCTTATTATCAGTATTTAGATTAGACGCAATAGAAAATAGAGGATACCTAAATCATGAACTAAAAACTTAGATCACGTGAAATGCTCATAATCAATGAGCACTGTGAAGGATGGTATCCCAGATATGTTACGAATTTCTCCAAGAAAGCAAATCCATTCAAAATATGAGCTCAACAAAATAACCAACAAATTGACAATAGGTATTTCAGAGATGAAGTTACCTGCACTAGCGCATCTTGCTGCTGCAAGGAGCTGTAGGTCGCTAAGATGCGCACGGCTGACGCTTGGAGGTCAGGGCAAGCCAGTCCCACATTGCACACGGTCACGAGTCCTTTGGCTCTTAGCACTGCCTCACAGCAGTCACCCCAGCATGACACTAAGCTGTCAACACATGACAGTCCTTTCACGGAAAATGTGGCAGAGCAGTTTAAACAGCTACAGTAGGTGTCAACATATTTCATAAAGATAAACAAATTAAATCATTAATTGCAAGACATGATGATCTGAGATCAGCATGTAAAGTTCAATTGACAAGCATGTAAAGCTAGTCTGCTAGAAACGAGCCTTAGCACCCACATACCGAATTGCATTTAGCAAGGTTTTATGAAAGGAAGCATCTTCAGAAGTAGGCTTAAGAAGCGCTTGAAGAAGATGTTTAGGTCCTTCATATCTAATGAACATCTGGCGGTTCCAGCCAGGCAGCTGAACCATGAATGCAGTCGCTCTTACTGCACGTTCGGCAATTAGCTGCTCTCCGCAGAGAAGCAGTGGCAGCACAAAACGAACTGCTTTGTAGCCTTCACACTGAAATAAGTTATTTTTAACCTTATCATGTGTGCAAAATAACATATGTCTATTGAATGCCTTATATATCTGTCAACTGTGAACATAATATAGAGAAATAAATAATTACAAAGTTGAAAAAATTTGCAGTCAACCACTCTCTATTCATTTGGGTTGTTGCTATGCAGCACAATTTTTACCTGTTTTTTGACAGAGTAATCTTGGAGCATGCTACAGAGGAGACTCATAGCATACAAGAGAATTTTACAACTTTTATTATTAATTTCAGCAACTTGAGGAAGTTGCACAAATTTATAGCTGGTCTCCAACGAGATTGAAGCAGAATTTGAGCTGCAGCTCAGTTCTTTCAGACGCTGCAGGTCTTCAAATTCTAGCTTCTGCACATCAAGGGTACAATCCTCATCTTCACCAACAGTTTTCAAATTAGTTGCACCAACAGTGGCATCAGCTGTCAAGGTGCTGGATGTCTTAGAGAATTGTTTGATCAATTTCAGTAGTTGGGGCACCAAACCAACCTTCCTAAAGGAAAAGGAGGGAGGGAACTACATTATTGGTATGAACAAGCCTGGCATTGTTGATTTCATAGATGCACTTACAACAGCTCAACTTCTAGTTAAGTTTCTTATTTAGGAATCCTGGGACCATTAATTCCTATGCAAAGAAACTGAGAGTCACATCAGCTTAAACAAATTTAAATAAATCAATAAAGCAGCGTGCTAGCAGCCTATCATTAATTCCCATTATTACCTCAGAATTAAATTAAACAAATCTGTAGTAGAATATGATTTGGTGCATTGTTGCTTAAATTAATGAGGTTTTAATTTTTTCAATACTTTTTACACAATACAAAAAGTATGTACTTCATTCCAATTACAATGCACAGTGTATATACAACAATGTTTCAGCTACTATATTATTGACTCACCTAAATACTGGAATATTTGTAGCATCAACTAATCTCTTCTTGATTTCCCTCATTCCTCTTTCTTTCTCAGAATCTGAGCACATCAGTTTCAGAAGGGCTCTTGCTTTTCCTTCTTCCATTCTATATTTATAAATTCTATAGACTAATCTATTGAAATTTTTATGTATGAAGTGGGTTCAGCCTCTGTCTCATTATTCAACAGGTAAGCTACATGAAAGAAGGATGAGAGCTAGCTTTTTCTGGTATGGAAATTCCACTTCTTGTCTTGGTCTTCTGTGAATTGAGCTGAAGTCCAGATATGAAGGTTTCTGTCATCCCAAAAATGCAGTAATGAGTGACAGCACCCATCTGAAAAAAAGTATAGATGTCAAAAAGTATACCGTACATGCAAAATACAAACAAGAAACAATTGGATAAATTTAGATTTAACAAAACTTGCTAAACCCAGACCAAATTTTTTGCTAGATACATCATTACAGATATGTAACAAACTTACCTTAAGATGATTAACAACCCAAATTAAAACAGAAGTTTTCCATTATACCGTATACTTTTAATTTATTTAGAGAAAATAATTACATAAGTAATCACATTCATTCATTACACAGGGAATTATAAAACTGGAGGATTAGGCCTGAAAGAGCAATTTTATGTCATTGCTAACCATTTGCCAACTAATTCTTTGGGTGTAAATAGAACTAAAGATCAACATAATTTACCCACTAAAAAGCTTTTATTGTCAGCTATTCTAATTGTTGATATTATTTTTTTGTTTTTAAAAAAATAAAATAAAAATTTATTATCACAATTTTAGAATTGCTATTTGGTGGTTGAAATATTCAGGATCAAACTAGCCTAGTAACTAAAATCAGTTATGAATAATCACAAGAGTTATAGAAGGGAGGTCTAGTTTGCAGTTTTTCAATGCAATACTCTACTTTTAATAACACATTGGTTACTCACATCAGAATCTGCTCATACTTGTCACTAAAAACCGCATATAACTGGTCAGAAATATGTATGATTTGTATGTTTTGACAACCAAGTAATGACTACAATGCTGTTTTGATCATGCAGTATTGTAGATTTGTAGTTAAATTTTTCTAAATAGATCGTTTCTGTCAAAGGCCAGCAACTTGACCCATTAATGCCAAGCAGTTCCATTTGGAACCAGCAAAAAAATAGATTCATAGTAAAATTTTATGATCAAATAAATATACAATTTGATGCATTGGTTTGATTCATACGGTATCTTATACATATTCTGGCAATGTTTGGTGCTGCTGTGCTGACTGCCACCTGTTCAGTTAACATTCAAATTATATATAAGAACCAGGTGTCAGACAGAATTGCTTGATAGGGTAAACGCGGTATATTCCGACATCGTAGGTAATTCCGTCACCTCTCCAGCTTTTCCTTTATATTAAGCTTTGTTTTAGTTCCATGCGTTCATTGATGGTTGAAATGGTGACGTCATACATTTGAAACACAAGAATTACCTGTTGGTCCTGTCTTACCCCATGCCCGGTCCCATCTTACCCCAGTGGGGTAAGATGGGACCAGCTCACTTTTTTTAATCTGTACAGAAAACTATGTTGTATGCAGAAAGTCTGGGTTGTAGCTTAGAAGCCCATTGCATAACTACACCTTGTGATAGGTTTAGGGTTTTTTATTTATTCATGGTATAGATGCTACATGCTTGTTAGTGATTTCGGTCCTGTCTTACCCCATCTGACTATATCATCATTGACAGTACTATGGCTTATTACCATGGGAGGGGGGGGGTGTCCCTCATAGTTACAAACCAGAGATTTTTTAGAATCAGTTCATTTTTAGTTTCCTCACTTACTCAAGATTTCAACCAATTTCTTATGTATGACAATGATAATGCTGGTATCCATGATACTTTGCTGGTCTACTTATCAGACTCAAAAATGAACTTGAGAAACAGAGGGAGAGGCTAAAAAATTATCTGCTTTGCCACTATGGGCCACTGTCCCTTATTTGGCTTATTATACCCCATCACACGGGAATGGCTGCCATTTTTTTTTAAATGAGATAGCCTAGGCGAATTTTGTCAATTGCGTTTTCAAGCCGATACCTGTGTGCAAGTGCAACTTTTATGTAAGTAAATTTTTTTAATAAAACAAATTTTTTTTTTTGCTCCAGACCTTAGACCTTGGTAGAGGTAGCCTACTTTTCCAAAATCGCACTTTTCACACTTTTTTTCAGCAATTTTTTAAAGATGGTAAATGTTTGATTTCTTAACTAGGTAGGTACGGTAGCTTTATATACATAATACCTAGATAGTAAAAATGTTGAAGTTTACACCACTATTTTTAGTTTTGCAATATTTTGATTAGGGTAAACGCGGTATATTCCATCATCGTGGGTAATTCTGTCACCTCTCTAGCTTTTCCTTTATATTAAGCTTTGTTTTAGCTCCATGCATTTGTTGATGGTTGAAATGATGACGTCATACATTTGTGCGTCAAACTACTGCCAAAACACTAGGTCTTGGCCATCTAGTGGGAAAATATTGAGATCCAAAGAGAGACAATGCACGCTACCCAGTGACATCATCGAAAAATGTGTCAAATTTGACAGTTGACCTTGCTGTACCAAATAGTGAATAACTGTTTGTATAGGAAGAATATTATGGTTTGAGACTTTTAAATACGTCTGTGAATATATTAGGAATCCTTTAAGTATACTTGTATTCGCTGATTTCAAGTGGTAAATAAATTAATAGATGATTAAGTTGAGAAATGGATTTAGACACATGAAAACTAATTCCGTCAAAACTTGAATTGGACACACACAGATCGTTCCAAGCTTTGTACAAAAATTAAAATTTGCTCAATTAAAAGCTTAATAGTTGTTAATTAAAAGCATAATTAGGTAGTGTTTAATATTCATTAGTGTTCTAATTAAAAGCCGTGTTGTATCCCAATACAGCTCACACAGCGAACGGAATTTGAACACGTGGATGATGGCATTACGTATCACTATCAGATCAGTAGAATTTGAAGCGCGGACGGAATACGCCTCACCACATGCCAAATATTGCCAAACACAGTGACGGAATATAGAGATTTTGTAGGTTTGCATTCTAAAGGCTTTTACATAAATATGGCAACATTTTGTGACGTTTCATCATTGCCGACACGTAGTACAGTGTTTTGAGAGTCACCTAAAGCAAACAGAACTTGAGTAACGCATACGGTTATTTTTTTATAGTTTTTCATTTCTCGATGCGTCCTTAATGTTAATGTGACGGAATATACCGCGTTTACCCTAGTGATTAGCCTAGCCCTACCTAGTTTAGCTGCTACAATATTTCTACAAAATGTGGGACTGGGACGCGCATCCTGATTTATCCCGCCTGTCCCTTATTACCCCATTTGACAAATTGATGGTACTTTGTAACTTTGTAAGCTGTAATTGTTAGTGGGTAGCCACACTCAGGATGATGTATGTTTTTGGTGAATTTTCCCGCGTATTTTCACTTTTTTAAGCTATTGCTGTGCACAGTTGGCGCAATGTAATGAAAATTGATTCTCTTCACACTTCACGCACGTGTTTGCGCAATCCCGGCCATCAATTCTACGTTGCGCTGCCGCGCACGAGCAGTTTGTCTGTTTGTGGAAGAACAGACGTAATACTCACATTCCTCAGTACAGTATGCCTTTAATTATCTTTCAATAATATATGATTTTTCTTGATACGGAAATTTGGTGAATGAGAAATCTAGAACTTTATTTTAGAAGAAATTTTCTCCAAAGTCATATGGCAACACTGAACACCGTCTGTTTACATTTCGTATGTATAATAGCCGCAGTTTACGATTACCGTACGAACGTTCCCGTATCCAACAAGGCGGACAAGCGGAAGAGTCAGAAGTAACCTGGACATGTCTTACATTTTATTATTGTCAGTTTGACTCACGTATATTGTCGACTAAAATAGTAGAACTATTTTAGCTTTCTAAAGTACGGCGCACGGCGCATTATTTTACCAGCATAGTACGGCGCACCGCGCAGGTCGTTAAAATGACAAAATAAATTCCCGCGCACCTGGCACATCTTCCACATCTTCCTGGGTGGGTAGTAATCGTAGTGGACTAGTGGTAGTATGGCTATGGCCTATGGCTATGGTCACAGTGTCACTTAGATAGTTAGATGTACGGTACTACCCACTACAACACTAGCCTACCCAGTACCCAGAGTCCCAGACTGCCAGGGGAAAACTCCTGGGGCCCGGGGGTGGGGTCCACCGTCCGCGGAGCGGCGGAGGTGGGAGCGGGGCCATATGACTGCGGCAAACTGGCAAATGGCATCATTGGCATGGGGCAAGCTCGTCATCGAGGCTCGAGCATCGACTCATAACTCACTGATCATTCATCTCGTACAATTTATAGAACACTGAAATTAGATTACTTCATACAAATTTTTGAAACAAATCAACAGTACGCAAATTTATAAATATTAGTGTAGGCTGGCAGAATTTCTTCTCTTAAACAAGTTTTGTTAAAGACCAGAGAATTATAATATAAATTTATAAATGCAAATAGTCAAATGTATTTATTCTTAATTTTCGTTTGGGGACCCAGCGGCCCAGCCCCGCGTCGTAATACTTTGGACTTGTCTTGTCTTCTTTGGCGAGTTATCGGTGTGCTGCGCGTTTCAACGATTCACACCGCAAGCTGCTTTTTTTTTTTTTTTTAATTGCTTTTAAGACTTCGGGTATGAACAGATCACACCTCCCAGCCTGAGCACAACTGGGTTTCCTTGTACTATATTGCCACAATGCCACTCTGATTTCAAAGTAGATCTCTAAGGCCTCTCACCAGCCGGTGGATGTTGTATGGAAGGAAGTACAAAAAGGATTAGACACTGGAAATTTTTCAAAGTTTGTTAACCATGTTGCATCCCAACAGGCACTGTCCAAGGTGACGAATTACTGCAGTTCTTCTTTTTTGAGGGATATCTCCTCCACCAAGAGCTGAGATGAGGTTCCAGGGAATCAAAAGATTCTCCAGAGCTGAGCGAAACTCCCTTCTCTGATCAGTGAAGAGCAAGCAGTGCAAGATGAAGTGACTAATTGTGTCTTCCACATTACACTCAGGGCAGATACTGGAATTGGTTTGATTGAAACGGGCCAAGTGAGCCCTTACACCAGCATGACCGAGACGCAGACGGGCCACAGCACATTCAACCGAGCGAGGTAGTGGTCCATAATCCACATAAGTTACCATTCCTCCCAAGCTCAGCCTGAAGGTTCCTTTCCCCGACGCAAGCTGCTTTGGACTTGGAGGAGTTACTTACTTGGTTACTTGGTTAAGATGAGGCGCGTCACCGACTGAAGTATTGGCGCCCCCATTCAGCATCTTCGTGGATTACTAAATGTTGTCAAGCATGTTGGTGTCTTGGAGGTACTTGATGAGCGAGGACAGGCTGAAGGAGACTCCAAGGCGGATGCAAGCAGCTTTCAGTTGGTTGCGATGAGGAGACAGTGCAGGGCAGTTAATGAAGAGATGGTCAAGAGTGAGCCGGCATTGACATGAGGAGCACTGGTATGGGATGGCCAGGGACCCACTCCAGGGAAAATTTGTTTGGAGTGAGAGTCATGAGAAGGCTCTGGATCCATGGC